GATGGTAACAAAAGATGATATTTTTAATTGGTGATAGTTTAATGTGAAATTTTAAGCGATTTAAGCATCTAACTTTAATTTCATTATATATATATATATATATATCGGTATATCGATATATCGATATGATTTAAATATTTGCGTTATTGGTTGAGGGTCGAGGGGCAGGCGCGTTTTAGCGTAGAGTTGTGTTGACATTTCATCGGAGTAAAGGAGCACACAGCCCCACCATCATCAACATCAACTGAACCATCACCGCCACCATCACCATCATCATCACCATCATCACCATTATCATCATCACCATTATCACCATTATCATCATCACCATCATCACCATTATCATCATTATCATCATCACCATCACCACTACCACAATCATAACCACTGCTGTCGCTACGTTTACGAGAATCGAAGCCGCTGAATTGTAGCGCATCATTTTTCCTCCTCCACAAAACTAACAAATATCCATCCGGGAAAAGCGATAGCAATATTAACATCCGTACCTTTACGTGACAATTTCTTTTTAATTTTTTGATTAGTTAAAGATATCAGTTGAAGATAATATCTAAGAAAAAAAAAATATGATAGGGATGTGAAATAAAGTATGGGAGAGGAGAGCGAAAGAGGCGAGAGCAAGAGAGAGGGGAAAAAATTAGAAGATGAAAGAGGAAAAAGAGGCTGAAAAGTGGGGAGAGAAAGAGAGGTAAGAGGTGACGGGACATGAATTCGTTCATCCTTTTTATCACAATCTTCTCTCTTTTCTTCTTTTCCTCTCTCTTTTACTGTCATTTTATCAATCATCACTAATAATACACTACCAATCATTACTCGATTTTCCGTGCATTTTTGTTTAATTTTTTTTTTTTTTTTAATTTAGATGATTTTAAAAAGTAAAAATTCTTTCGTTGGTGCGGATTTTTTTTTTTCCAATCTTTCGTTTGGGGTAAATTTTTTTTTTCCAAATCATTCCGTTTCATTTATGACAGTAATGACAGCAAAAGAAAAAATGACATTTTTAATGTCTCGAATTAGACATTTATTCACAATATGTAAACAAAATTGGGTGTATTCATAGAAAAAGATGTGAATGTTAGTTGCATTGAAATTTTATCACTTTTCTACTATCGGATAATATTGTTGCAAAATTTTTATCGTTTTAAATTTTGAATCATTAAAAAAAAGCACACACACGCACACACACACACACACA